TTTTCGGCCCGGTTCCGAACCAAAAACGAGCAGGAAGTCAGTGTTCAGCCGGAAGTCTAAGATTTTCCTGTTTTCTTTTGTTTTTTTGTATTTTTTCGCTCTGCTAATAACCCTTGGGGTCCATTTTATTTTGGTATACATTTTCTAGGTACGTTAGCCTGTGACCACGGAAATTGGCCGAGTCAAGTGATGGATTAGTACGGAGAGATTGAGACAGAAGGAGGTACTGGANTTGGTATACCTTTTCTAGGTACGTTAGCCTGTGACCACGGAAATTGGCCGAGTCAAGTGATGGATTAGTACGGAGAGATTGAGACAGAAGGAGGTACTGGATAGAGAGACCGGGATGGTTTTTAATGTGAAGACAACAACAACAACAACAACCGTACCGTAATAGCGGCAAGTAAGTGCAGTCTGAGGAACACACCTTCTGTAAACTACAATCCATACATACATACATCATCATTTCCAAAAGTACAGACCCCGGTCGCCCCGGTGGTCTAGTGGGTAGCCTCGCAGCCTGCTAAGGGCCAGGTCATGGGTTCGAGTCCCGGTAGAGAGAGTCTTTTTCTCACTAAATAAATCCTGGTCTAGGATGAAAGCGACGCGCTGCAAAGCTCGTTTGTTAGTAAACCATAATCGACTTCGTAAGTCGCGGAAGGGATTGCTGTACCCTTCTCGCGATAAAAATACCTCAGGCATGAACCGCAGGAGGGGGTCCAACCCCCCCCTCCTATGTGACCCCGGTTGGGTCGTCTAGCTAGTAGAAGTGGAGGATAGGGGCCAGAGGGGCAGACGACAGAGTCCAATGATGGGAGACAAACAAAACAAAAACAAAAACACATACCCATCTCACCGATACGGCACCAAATTATAATTCGCTGCGTGTGCATCGGAGGTTTGGCAACCAGAACTTGTGACAACTGCTCGTGCTCTCTCTGTCGAATTAGTAACGGATGCCGAGAAAGAGAGAGAGAGAGAGAGAGAGAGAGAGAGAGAGAGAAGAAGCAGAAGAAAAGTAAAGGAATGAGATGGGGACGCGAGATGCCAAGGAGAGGAAAGGGAGAGGAATACGACCTACAGTTGACTACGCTGTTGTACAGGAAGCCGAAAGCGGGAGACAGGGTCGTTTGTCTGTAGAAGTCTAAGATGGTATAAAAAGGAGACTGAACGACATAGAGACATAGATAGAAAGAGGCTGATTTCTCCTACACTGCTGACCCCAGCAGCCGAGATCGACGAGATAAATGCAAGACCTTGACATGTCTATATGCAGTAGTGGTTCCTGTTTAGTGCCGATTGCCGGTATAGTGCCGGTGTTTTCGGCTCGCACACACTGGTGCATACTGCACTGCTGTAGTACCTGGTACTGGTGTACGTTGTCCTTCGATTTTTTTTTTTTTTGTGGGAATATATATGTGTTTGTTTTTCGCCCCCCGTCTTGCTGCACCCCCTGGGGTGTGGTGCAGGGCGGGGGATGCCTGGTCGGCGGGAACCCGGCACGGAACCCTCCGGCGTTGTAGGCGGGTGTGGGAAGCGTTCCCCGTTCTCCTTTTATTTTATTTTGATCGGTCTCCTCGACGCTCTTTCTCGTTTGGTGCGGTAGCTGGTCTTTCTTTCTATCATTTTGTTTCTCTTCCGAGTGGTTTTTGTACCCTATTTTTTTCTGTTTCTTCGTGGGGTCGTGTATGCCGGGTTTTGAGACCACGGGCTCCCAATCTTTTTTTTTTTTTAGAGCTAATGTGAGAAACAACAACATAACAAAAAACTGGAATATCAAGTCGTTCTGTACTTTGAATAGTGCCGGTGCCCGGTATAGTGCCGGTGAAATTTTTGCGCAACCACGGCACTAAACAGGGACCTCTACTGTGTATGAATGTCGCCTTGACACACAAGTTGAGAGTTGAGAGGTGGTCGAGACTCATACAAAATACACACTCACAAGCTGCTACACACATTGATGCACAGCACTCTTTACGCTGGTGTGGGTGTCCAGTGTCCAGTGCGCGACCTGTTCGACCTGTTTCCCGCTCCTCGTTTACGATTTTCTCGGTCCTTCGTCTGAACGAGCGCAAGCAGGCCTCTTGTTTGGACCACCATCGCCTCTACACCCCCACTCACTTGCACATACATATACGTTTTTCAGGTTAAAAAAATGGAGTACTCTCCAACGATTGGATTCTTCCGATCACTTGCGCGAGAAAATACTTTCCTGCCCGCCGCTGCTGCTGATAAAACATTTTCGAATCTCACACCATGTCGTCAACCGAACGTGTTGTAGTTATTTCTGCTCTGCATGCAGGCAACCCAAGAGCCCATGCGCCAGGATGGCGCGATAGGGAGAAACTGGATGCGATTGGGTGGGTGGGTGCAGAATGACGATATCCTGCTGTCCGAGACGAGCGGAAATCAGCGCACTGCAGAAGTTTGTACCGCAGACCGTATGGGCTACCCCGCCGAGAGATGTGTAAAGAACGTTGGGCATGGATGGGGCCTGTTGACTACTGTTGAAGACATCGCCAACAAGTACATACGGCGGTCGTTTGAGTGACCGTTGACCAGTTTTGTTGTACAAACATGCCGGAGAAATCTAAGAATGAGACTAGACACGCCAAGGGAGGGTTCCGGCAGTGGCCAAAGGTGCATACGAAATCATGTTCGAGCGTTGAAACAGGAAATATGTCTAAAGTGTGTTCAGTGCATTGTTTTGGATGGAGGATGGTTGGATGTCCGTGAACCAGCAGTACGTAATAAAATAGTTGCCATATTTTCTCGGGGGATGGGTGCAACGGGGAGGAGAGGTGGCATGGACAAGTCCCGACGGCCGATTGGAAAGAGACTTCCCTAACCAGGCAAAACGCGTACATAGTACAATACCTGTCTTGCCAAACTATGCGGTGAGGTGTATGATGTTGTCACTTACTCGAACAATGTCATTGGCGGTCCGAAAGTTGTGGTTGTATCGCTTGATCGAGTAGCAATGCCGGACCTCTTTCCTACCGCTACCTGTCAGTGAAGCACTGTTTGCTTTCTTGGAGAACAATGTGTCTTTGGAACGATATGCAACTAATTACGCTGCCGCTCTCCGGACGTGCGTCGTACGTTGCATCAGATACACAAACACGAGAGAAAGTCAAGACCGCCAACCTACAAGCCCCCCCAGATGCCGACAACATTACTGGGAATCTCGCGTAATTGTTCGACTGAGCTTGGTGGGCGTAGGCAACAGGACGTCAGCAAAAAGCAAGAACGGAGTTATTTGATCAACTTGAGTGTCGAATGACGACATAAACGAGGCAATTGAAAGACAAGCCGTTGGACGGATGCATGGTTTGACTTGCGCAACAACACTTTGTTGTGTATGTGATGAGAGGTCAAATCAACACACTAACGGCTTCACAAGTGAAGTCCACAAGGAGATTCCACGCCGATCTGCACCTAGGCATCTCAAATGCTATGGTTTCGCATGCGGATTGCGTCAAACTCCAAAAAATGTAGAACCAATTCTTCCGATATCCGCACATCATCATCAAGCTCGCATGGGGTCGGTTAACTCGAACTGCCGTGTGAGTAATAAAACAGTATCCAGAAGTTAGAAAAATATCGTATAATGCTTTGGATGCGAACGTAAAAGGCGATGATGGCATCCATCGTCGTGCCTCTGTCGGGACTTGTGTTCATACTTTGACAACGCATTTCCAGAACATACACGCCAAGTACACGATCACTTGTAGTATGTATATCAATCCTATCCTCAAAAGCGTGTTTCCTGTGCGCACAGACGGTTTGATCCCGTGCCCAAGCCGTGCTTCCTTCGAAGAAACCTTTTCAAGCGCAAACTTATCCTAAGAACTTTACTCCATCCTCTTCCGAAGTCGCCCCCTTGAACATAACCACTCGCTCTTGGCTCTCCAAGACAGATAGCGCTTTCCTGAAGAGCCCTTCGTCCATCCCGAAAAAATCCTGCGCACATCAAAATGAAGAGTGAGAAAGGGTTGCGAACGTATGTTCCAAATTCAGTTTGTTTAGCACGAAAACAATAAAGCCATTGTGTGTGGAACCCGAACCTGAGTAGAGCTTGTGTTGTTGAGGGGGGCTGAACTACAGTACCACCTACATAATCGATCAAAGACAATCGCTCTTCTCGGCAGACGAGGCGAGAGCGCTCGTCAAATCCTGGTAGTGCTGTAAAAGTTGGTTTGCCAACACACCATCGAGAGGGCAAGGACCATGGAAACGTTGCTCAACGCGACACCCATTGATGGCTGATGTATTTGGCCATACTAGACCTGAAGCCAGTCTTAGATTCATGGGCCCAAGCCACACACGCAGTAACTCTTACCGTCCCCAAGACCTCATCGCCTTGGTGCAATTCGTACACCGTGAAAACACTGCCGACCATGTCGTGCTTCTTCACGAAGTCGAACAGCTTGGCTGCAATCTCTTCCGCGCTGTGCCACATTAGAGTCACCATGGACTTTCCAGCATCGTTCCACTCTGCGTGGCCGGTGCGAACCAATTCTTGGACGACTGCGTTCGCCCCCTCACTGCTTAGCTTTCGTCCGATTGCTTCGTTTTCCCACAGCGGCCAGTCTCTCCACTCGAACACGTACTCCTTTCTAGCGTGGTGCCATCTCAGTACCATGTCGCACCATAACCTCAGCTGTTTTTCTCTGTTCGAGGTGGGCAAAATCGATAGATGACACGGTAGTGAATACTCGTACCTGAGCGAACTCACGAATTTCTTCGAGCCGCGACGACATGGAAGAGATAGGCACAGCTGTAGCGCTGGCCGAGGCACTATCTTCGTACGTGAAAAGTCGAGGCCCTGCTCTTTGAAGAGAGTAAAGAAACAAAGTGACCGAAGAAACATGGCGCTCCTAGTGACAAGTAGAACCAGAAGCAGAAGGCCGTGGTTAAGACGCTGCGAAGAACGCCTCCATGCGCACTATTCTCTACGAATCGTTTAAGCAACGTATGTGGAGACCTATCGCGGGAGAACGACTACGGCAGAACATAAGCTCAGAAAGATTCCTGAGAGAAAATCCTGAAATCTCCGGGGTCTTGTTCTGCAGCCAGAGGATGTCTTCGAATGATACTAATTTGAAAGGCATGTTTCTCATGACCCGACCTGCAGGGACTCATCGCCACAGGAAACGGTTTCGAAGCTTAAAGCGCATAGCAACCAGATTATAACACGGACGTCAAGCTACCTCAAGGTGGGGAGTCAAGCGTGCAACGTGTCCTTCGTTCCATCTTCTCGGTGCGCCAGTGTACAACTTCGGTACATCACCGGAGTTACCGCCTATACGAAAGGTAACCTATGCAATTGGATGAATAGTGGCCAAAATCGGGTACACCCGGTCCAAACACGGCCATAATGGGGTACTCCTACACGACGCTGTTGGAAACGCCCGCATGACACCATCTGATTGGCCGACGCCCACCCCTACCCGAAGTTTACCATCTTTCCACCGGGTGCACCCAATCTTGGCTACTTGCCCCCCGGAGGGGTAGCCGGTTTGTCTTTCCCCTACCCGAAAATATCTGGGCTGTTCGGCCAAATCCCATGCATACAGGTACACGTCAGCAATACCTTGCCCTCGAATTCGGACTGCCGGCGGGCGGGGGAGGACCCACCGCCGGCGGTGGAACTCTCGCTTGGGGGAAACCGCATCAGGCAGGCGGTCGGTGCAAATGATCGAGAAGAGCTGTGGATGAATGCCCCATTCACGAGATGCGACACACACGAGACGCATAAAAAAAATAGACATATTCTCTGCTTCCTGCTGCTTCCTCATTGGTGGCAAACGAGCGGCAGCGGTGTGCGTCCTACCCGTGATTGTGTGCATGTGGGTTTTCGCCGGGCAGCCCCGCCATTTTCGGGTAGGGGAGAGAAAAACCGGGTACTCGGGTGCACCCGGTGGAAAGACGGTCACAGTAGGGTAGGGGCGGGCGTCGACCAATCAGACGGTGTCATGCGGTCGCTTCCAGCAGCATCTTGCAGGGGTACCCGATTATGCCCGTGTTTGGACCGGGTGTACCCGATTTTGGCCACTGCTCAATTGGATCCCTTCTAAATTTTTTGCCGCCCAGCCATTCCAATTCACGTTGGTAACACCGTTGGTACTCCTGTTACATATGCATGTGGAGCATTGCTTGCCACGATCGTGGGAAAGGATTTCAGCGCCATTAGGGATAAAATACGCCCGCACGAATAGGTTTTACGCTGTGGTAGAAGTGTTCCTGCGCCATCGCAATCGCTTGCTGCTTTCAAGACTTCGCCTTTTTCATGTTTCTCGGAGGCCAACGTCACGCGAGTCGTTGGCGAACATATGCACAAATGAAGTGGCAAACGCCATCCGAAACTTCGCCACACAACAGAATATCAACGTATGTACAGATCCATATCACAGGCTAGAGTTTTGGATAGCCATCACATCGCCCGTCATGGGTCTGCAACAGTCACTGGGTCCCTGTATTTATCGACTGAAGAACTCTAGAAGAGTAGCAAACCAAAAACTCGCACGAGAAAACACAGAAGCAGCAATGTAAGGGAGAATTTAGTATTCACACTAGTGTATCCCTTCGTTAGAGTTTTGGATCACCATACGCAAGAGCTGTTGCAAAATACCGCTGTTAAAGACCATCTAAATGAAGGGGGAAAGGCCACCATGAAGTTTTTTGGTATGACAAAAAGAAACATATTACATGTACACTGCTTGTATGGAAATATTCAGTTTGACCGGTACGGATGTCAGAAGGTGCTTGAGCAGACCCGAACGCCTGCACGGGTTTCAATGTTAAGACACCAGCCAGCCTTGGGTCACACAACTTGCGCCTTCTATCCATCTCCACACAAGAGCGCGCCATGTGTGCACAGGTATATTCTCAGCTTGAGTTTCTCTGCCTTCCTCGTGGAATATGAGTACAAAGGGAGCAGAACTCACCGGGTTGCCAGCACAGGCTGTAGAGTGAAGAAGGGGGGGAAGTTATAAAACTCGGGTTTCTCGAAACCTGAATCAGTCATGTTTGTGCTGTGCGTGGGACAGGGGTGTTCCTGTGTTAATAAGCAGCAAGAGCTACGTAGTGACATACGCGGTGGGGCGCCGCCGTATGTTGCGTGCTCCCCCTTCGATCGGTCCGTCGGTCCATCTCTCAGGTGCTGCCGTGCTTGCTCGCCTCCTTGTCCTTGTATCCTGGGAGAATCTACACCCAGCTCAGTCAGGATAGGAGAACAATCTAAATAAGCACATCGGAGCTGTGCCTGCTGAAGCTTGGCGCTCTTCTGTACACCTGGATCCGCTCCATGTCTGCGTGGCTCCGCGAACATATGCCTAATCAGGTTGGTCCGAATGTTGCATGCTACGCACAGCATATCATTGTCATCGTGTCAAACGCTGCTAGTCAATAGGAGTCGTGCCCTTCTCGGCAATGTGTCCAAACAAGCAGACCCACATATCCGACCACGAGCTACAGCAGACAGCATTACAGCAAGCAGTATCTATTCAAGCTCGTCGTGGCGGGACTGTCAGCTTCAATATCCAAGTGAGCGGGGGGCACCTGAGGTTTGCCTAAGATATCACACCCCCTGGACCGATTGTCAAAGCTTGATTACTCGGCAGGAAAAGCAGTGATCGTACCGAACATGGCGGCGATGCAACCCTCCCGCCGAGAACGTTCCGAAAACTTAGTTGTGCTTTCGTCATTATCTTCGCTGTGGAGTCGAGCTTTGAAAATCTGAACATCGGTCCAGGGGTTGGGCATCTTACCCAACCCAAGTCGTTCATGTATGCGACGGTACCCAATTACCGTGGATTGCGTACGATGTCACAGCCGCTGGACCGATTTTCAAAGCTCGATGACTCCACGACGAAGAGAATGCCGAAATCAAATGATACATGTTATGAAAGCTCTCGACGAGACGGTTGCGATGCCGCCATGTCTCGGCACCGTCGCTGCTTTTCCCGCCGAGAAATCGAGCTTTGAAAATCGGTACAGTGTGATTCCTAATGCAACCGGTAATACAACCTTCAGCCATGAATCCGCCGGTTTACTGGACATAAGCACCCATAATCCTGTATAGCAGTATGGACGCAGTCGCTACGTGCTGTTGTATTAATGCAGCAGACTACGCTGTATCGGTGTTATCCGTTCGGTACCGAAATTGTTCGTGTTACGGCACCCATCGTTGATTTCGCACCCATCGTTGATTTCGCACCCATCGGTGTTACGGCGCCGGGGTGCGCAAAGTATCGAGAACGGCATAAATTGAATTGCAATTCGGCACCGGTATCGCGGTGAGATATCAAGGATAAAAACTCTGCTTAGGACGTAAAACTGCGTGCTTCAGTAAGGTACCGGGACCTCCGGCCACTTGTCGAACTGTATGTAACGATCGGCTGAGAGGGTCCGGTAGGTTCAAATTGGTGCGCCATTCCTTTCATGTGTGTATATCGTGCCGTCGAGGTGTACGGAATATATGATTCATGTTTATTTGTACGATAAATCCGCACATGGAATGCACTCACTTATTCAACTAACCACTCACTAACCACACAAACACATCCCGCACCTCCAACCTACCGAACAAGAAGAAGGAGTTCGAAACGGTACTACAGTTGTACCGTTACCATGCCCCTTTAGGCAGACAACGACAGATAGGAAGCACCAGCCATCAAATGAGGAGCTTGCCACAACAAAGAATTTGGAAAAACAACGCTTATGGGATGGCGACTAATTTTGAAAACAAACGCGAGAGCACCATAAATTGCACAACCAACAGACACGCAAGAGCAGTCGAAGGCATCGCGAAAAACAGAAGTCGTTGATTCTCGCACAGGGCGGCGGTAGAGGCTGCTCAAAACATACATGTCACCCGTCTACCTCCACACGCCTCATTTGAAACCAAGATACAAATCCATACCATTCTAAATTATGTCAACAGAGCCAAAATGGCGGGCGCTAAAACAAGGTCGGCGTTGACGGTTACTTGGTCGGTCGTGCTTACTGGCACGTTCAGGTTTGATTTGCTACTGGCCCTGAAAGATCGAAGGTCGCAGCAGCCTCTGAAAACAGCCCGAAATCTGCGCCGGAACCAAGCGGAACGCAACATTTGTCACAGCCATGCTCACTGCCACGGACTGTAACCCCCTGCACGGAGTCAGCAGTAGCTACTAGTGGCGTCAGCTGTTGCCTACCCGCAGTTCAGGAGATTCGGGTCAGTGACGGCGAGAGCGACTGTGACAACTGTTGGATTCCGCTTGATTCCGGCGCAGATTTCGGGCTGTTTCAGAGGCTGCTGCGACCTTCGATATTTCAGCTCCAGCCCACAGCAAACCTGAACGTGCCAACACGAACGGCGCCTCTTCATGTTGTCCTCTCCTGATGACAGTAGAACCGACCAGGTAACCCTGGCGGGAAGATTGTTTTTTTTCTTTGTTTTGGATTGGTGTATGAGAAAAGAGCCAGCGTAATAATCACTTGTCTGCCACCCCTTATAAACCTTGTAGGTACTAAGGTTACCGGTAGGTAGGTGCGCCGGCAGGTAGGTCTAGGTGTTGACGAAATAGTTCATAGGAGTATGCTACAAGGGGTCTAATGGTATGTGCGTATGAGAATCTCCACGGTGGGCTAATGTTGTACTTCTAGGATTTTAATGTGTAGGCGGAACATAGAAGAGAATGATTCCTTCTGGAAGGTGCGGAGAGATGTAACTCCCCGCGGAAGGGTAGAACAGGGGACAGGATCTAGTGGCCCCTACTTGAGCAGCGGATACGCCTCCCACTCCACTGTTCTCAGTCCTCTACGTTACCCAGGGCAACAACAACAGCTGCTGTTCGCTACCTGGTAGGTAGTAGCAAGTGAGTTCTCGTTCACGGGTCTTCCAAATTGCACCACGCGTGCATAACCTTACATAACACAACAAAACCATCTCGATCCATAGTAGTTAAGGGTCTACTTGTAGGATATAAATTGTGTTTTTCTTGGATGGGCGTGTGAGGATTGGCTCGGCGGATGCAACCCCGGCAAATACACTCCACCCCCCTCCCCTCTCTAGTATATACTTCTATATGTTTTCATATTTTCGTTTGATGGGACTTCTGTTTCCTGGTTATCTCTTCTATAGAAGGTACTGAGCGGAGGCCGGAACGGTTTTTACTGTGAAGACAACAACAAGAATTCCTTTTCTGGCCGGGTTCGATCGTCTCCCGCTTAGGCTGTTTCTTAAGCTGTGTTGTTAATTTTCTTCTGCTCTGTCTCTGGGACGAATTTGCAAGGGCACAAATATGTAGATCCGGGGGACCTTCTTACTACGACCCGAGGCAAATATTTTCCCAGTGGACCAATAGGTCGATTCAAGTTTTTGTGGGTAACGAAACGCTTCAGTTCACGTTTTCGGCTCGTGTGTGACCAACAAGACACAGAGCGCCCTGCTTTGGGGTCGCCTAAGACCTTGCACAGTGACTGCTGTTTGTGAACATCGCTAGGGCCTCTCCTTGGCATGCGTTGTTGACTGGTCACACTCGAAACAATTAGACAAAAAGACAAGCGTCAACAACGTCAACATCGAAACAAACCTCGGTTCACGTTTGCAGGACGAGCTCGGTCAAAATTGGACATTATGCCCCTTTACTGGGGCATTTGGAGAGTTAATGTGTATGACCGCACGCTATTGATTGCAATTTGTGGATAACTCTGGCATGCATGTTTGACTGGTCATACATGCAGCAGTACATAAACGACTCTTTTTGACTCAAGCACAAGAACGTCAGTGGAGCAACGTGGCAGGTTGATGTTTTCGGCTCGTGTGCGACCAAAAAGACGCAGAACGCCCTGATTTTTCGATACGTGCGAAGGTTTGTGTATGATCTCACGATATTGACCTCTGTTTGGGCAACAGACGGTGTAGTCCCTTGTTCTGGCACGATTGGGGGGGGGCGCGAACTTCAGTGCAGCTCTTCCCTCACATGTCCTGTCCGCTCGTCGCCATAGTCACTTGAATGCCTGGGGTAATGTATATGTAGGTCTAGCTACAAGCAAAAGTGCTTGAAGGGTTCAAAATCGGACCGCACAGCAGCTTCAAAAATTCTGCTTGTGGTTCACCAATCTCGATGATAGAAGGATCGTTTGGAAAATCGCGAACCGCTAATCCGCAGTGTATCGCACGGGCTACAATCTCAGATACTAACATTGTACACGAGGGGGGGTGAGCGGACGGTTAGTTCGCAATGAAAGTTTCGCCCTGGAGTTGGGCTTTGGAAGACTGAGATATGCAGGTGTTTCCTTCGTTTTGGAGAGGAGACACTGCGATCCCCCGTGCGCCCTGAAGAATCGGAGAGATGGCACCTCGCGGAGAGATGAAACCGGTCTGGAAGATGGCACCAGGGGGCGGGAGGGGGGGCGGGGTGTGCTCATAGTCGTGCATGCCGTAGTCGTTAGACCATTGACCTCGCATTCCTACAAAGCCGGGACGGAGCACGCCGGGTTCTCACCGGACCAGGCTCTCACATCACCAAGCGCGAAGCGCCCTGAGGTATTCGGCGAGTCTCATGAGGGTGCGCTGCATCCTGCTAAGGGTGTTCGGCATCTTGTGCTTACTTCCTTGCATACGGATGACAGCTGCGTATGACTTCATTTATTTTCTGGTGCTTGCACTTCCAGGGACAGTTGTAAGCCACTGTGTAACTGCCTCGAGGATGCTTGACCATTTTAACACAACGTGGTGCGATCATCCCCCTTGCGCGGAGTTAGGGTTCTCGACCCCGCACAACATGATCTACTCGACCACCATAATGGTTACCGCCAAAAAATACGAGGAAAAAAACAAACGGTAACCTGGTTGCCGAGTTCACGAAGTGAATTGGGGCTTGTTTTACAACGTCGTTGCCAAGCGACGAAAACCCAATCCCGATAGGCAAACACCGGAGGGGGGGGGGTGTACTCATAGTCGTGCATGCCGTAGTCGTTAGACCATTGACCTCGCATCCCTACAAAGCCGGGACGGAGCACGCCGGGTTCTCACCGGACCAGGCTCTCACATCACCAAGCGCGAAGCGCCGTGAGATATTCGGCGAGTCGCATGAAGGGTGCGCTGCATCCTGCTAAGGGTGTTCGGCATCTTGCGCTTACTTGCGTGCGTACAGATGACAGCTACGAATGACTTGATTTGTTTTCTGGTGCTTTCACTTCCAGGGTCAGTTTTAAGCCACTGTGTAACTGCCTCGAGGGTGCTCGAACAGTTTACCACAACGTTGTTTTACAACGTCGTTGCCACGCGACGAAAACCCAACCCCGATGGCACATACTGGGGGGAGGGATGACACCGGGGTGCGAAAAAAACTT